CAACAATTAACTGTACAGTTTAAAACAAACTTCTCATTGTCTATGTCAGCCAAGACAGACAGCTCATGATTACTGCATTCGCTTTAACTTGCTAGACTATAGTTATGCCCAATCTGGCATGCATACTGGAAATTCAGTCTTCGCGATGAATTAATAGCTCACTATAGAGTGGAACGAGCAAGCGAGAGAAAAGAAGTGTTTAGCAATGATTCGGTTTACTTCGATCGATTACAGTTCTATCGCTGCTTGTTTGAAATCCTTGGATAGTGGAAACTACATGATCCATGCCCAGGGGTAGTACTCAAACCATGAAGCCTGGCTTGATGAGAGCGCGTGACTGAGTTTGATCTGACTAAAAAAAGTTCTGGTAGTGACCAATTCAAAGAGTCCCGTAGATCTTATTTGCTGTGAGAGAAAATAAGAGATGCTACGCCAATGCACTTTAATGACCGCAAACATCAGCACAATCGTGCCGGATCGTATGTTTGTGTTGTGCCGGTCAGGCTGGGAACCATCAACCTGCGCTATTTTGTCAACACGAGGATATAATTCTATTGAGTTGAATGACTACCGCTTTCTCCGGGATGTTTGGTGATATCCACGGTCGGAATCAATAAGTGGCTGTCAATCTTAGCTCCAATTTTTCATCGGACTACACAACTACATCGTTCCCATCAAGTTTTAACCAAAACCCGCAATCCTTTAGCCAAAACCCGCAATGCTTTAACCAAGACCCGTAGTTATTTAGCCTTGAAGCACAAAATTTAGTCACGTCGCATTTGATGAGTCAGATTAAAAAGTATCGAAATATTCTGAAGTCAGCGGGTGTTGAAAAAAAATTATTTACCACAAACGGTTATGTTGCAAACCTTCAACAAGAAATAAGAAGGTGTGAGTGTCGCACGTAGCACCACATGTTAGCTGAAGAAGGGTTAACTGATGTGTCCGTATCGTCAAACCACTGGGTATATCTCGTACAGCTTCATTGTTTCTGTTTAATATGCAATACTCCTGGGAGTAAAAATCTCAAATGTAACTCAGACGGTACGCTGTTCTGCATTCACAAGCCCTGAAATAAATCAAAAGGTATATGCTTATCATTTCATATGCCCAATTAAAGTAAATTCTGTTCTCGAGGTGTGCATACATAACCAGGTTGAGGATAATAAACAACGTTCACAAAACATCCCTTTTAGTATACCGTTTCCCAATAAACTATAGACAAAAAACCGGTAATCACCAAGCCTCAAGCGTGGTAATTATGACATATGTTGCATCATTAACAAACTGATGATAGTTATGAGGGTAAACTTTTCCGAGCGATTTATTATCCTCAGCACGTTACTGTATCCCCTTCTGATGATGATTAATGCAGCGTTTGAGTTACGTTTGAGATTTTTACTCCTAGTTTTGTGAGATACTACTCACAAGTGAGTAGTAGGAAACTTTCAATGATCAACAATATAACAAGACTATCGAGTGCCAAGTGATGTGTTTGAAATAATAATTACCAACCTCCCTATGCATTATTCGGTGTGCCGCCAGGAACGGCGATGGTATGTTTCTGATGCGATGTTTGGTGTTACGTAGGGCTAATTGGTGATACCGCATCGAAAATCTTCAATCAACGGATATCCTCGATCAGTACCGCCTTTTGGATTTATATAGCTCGAAGTATCGTATATTATATGGAAACAATGAAGCTGTACGATATGTATCAAATAATTTGACGAAACAGGCACATCGGGTTACTAATTTGCAATCAACATGTGTTCCAGCATGCAACCTCCCACACCTGATTTCTTAACCGAGGTGTGCAACAGCAACATTTATAGATAAGAATATTTTCAACGTACTTTGACTTCAGAATATTCCGATACTTTTTTATCTGACTTTTCGACTGCGACGTGACTAAATTTCTCTGCGTCGAGGCTAAAGGACTACGGGTCTTGGCTTAAAGCACTCCGGGTTTTGGTCAAAGGAATGTAGGTCAGGGTTAAANAGGGTTAAAGAATTGTGGGTTTTGACTAAATGATTGTGTGTTTTGGTTAAATTATGTTGGGAGAAGTTGTACAACAGTACTTTTGCTCTTCGTTTACTTAATGTTTTTTTATCTGTAAATCATATATTAAATTAAAATGTGCTAGAAAATAGGCGATGAGAAGGTGTTTCAGGTGCTTCACATGCGATACAAATGTTTTTCATAGCCGAGAAAGAGATTGCTGCCGTACAATTATTTCAAGTTCGTTCACTGATTATTTATGGAGAACAATTGAGTTTGGATATTCCCATGATGGCACTGAGAAAACGAATCAGTGAAAGAACAGTTGTTTTTCGATATCCCTGGTCATGGTCTTACACATCAGATAGTGGAACCAATCCTTACATAATGATAGCCATTAGCCCTACGGGGACAGGTCACAGCAACTAACACATTAAACGTTCCTACACGCACATACACACACACACAAACACACACGCATACACTTCCATTGCTCTCTGCCTCCGATTAATGACCTTAAATTAAGCTATTGGCCATAATTGTGTAAGAATGTTTTTCACTTTATGATAAGTATGGGCATGACTAGGGATATCGAAAACAACTGTTCGTTCATCGACTCCTTTTCTCAAAAATTCAGTTGTTCTTTTAGTTTATTCACATCACTTTGGAACAATTTGTTTTCCAAATCAATAGTGGTGATGTTATTGCGAATGATAATTGAGATACGACAAAATACGTTTGATGTTAGATGTTTTGATTTGGAGAAAGAAACATGCAGAACATTTCCTGAAACCATTTCACAACCGCTCACGTGTCTCCGTGGTATGACTAGGACGGCACACATCGGGTTTGTGATATCTGATTCAATGATGTTTCGATACGTTCACAAAGGAAACCATTTATACATACATACATAATCAATTTCTTTCAAGGTGCCGAAACGTCATTTCGCTGAGAGTGTGAATCACGCATGTGTCGATTTTATTTTCGTGAAATCAATGCTGGGAAGCCATGAAGCTTTCGTGCCTAATGAAAGCTTTATTAAGCGCAGCAATAAAACAAAAAGAAATATTGATTCGTATCGAGGAGTTCGGATATCTTGTCACATCGATTTATCAAAGTTCAACACATCAGTTAGTTGGATCGATCAAATTCGGATGTCAAAAAAATAAAACAACCCAGTAAATTGTTGGTCACGTTTTTTGACCGTGATCACCATAGCACTGGTGTGGATCTGACTGGTTTGGAACTGGCTAAAGCCAAACCAATCATGAAACTCAGACACTTGTTTTGTAGAAACACTATTTCTAATTTACCTCTAAAACCAACCTTTAGTTTAGATGAACAACCAATTCTTTAACGGTATAGACCTGGGTATCATTTATCTGTTGAGATCCCCGTATTTGAACAACCGAAACCGTGTTCGATCGCATGACTGTTTCTCAGGCATGGTCACCATCGAGGGCAGTAATCTTCTAGTTTTTCTTCTCTCTCCCTGTTTCTTTTTATCAATTTTCATGATTTTCATAATGATTTCCCCGAATAAATAATGTTGTGAAAGGTGTCGGCTGAAGTGACATTTCTTTCGCATATAATCAATGACTTCATGCGAATCAAACAAATGGACATCATATATGTTTATGGGGTATGGTGACACATAGTAGATTCAAAGATGAGATTACTAAAACTTGTTCACAACAGACAGCGTAACTAATTTATTAACACGGTTTGTCTTAATCCGATTACAGATGGGTGAAAATGGTTAGTGAATGGGTGAGGATGACATGTTAAGGTGTATGTGTGTTGCAATAGTTATACGACGAAGATGGAAAGTCCGAACACGTGGTCATGCGAAGACAGGAAGTTAATAAGATGAAAAAACAAAACTGATGATTATCCACAACAAAAGTTAGAATTTAAATTCGATGGAAATGTATGTGGTAACCAACAAAGAACACTGGGACTCGTCCGCAGTGCGCGTAGTTTTTGTGTCCTTGTCAGGTCTCGAACTGCGATTCTCCGGGCTGGGATTTTAAACTCCCTACCTTCAGCTACACGGTCGACGGTTATCACCATGTGCGAATGGCTCAATCAATTTAGATGGTGAATATTTGTATCAGACCATTCGGTTTTTAACAGGCACCAGACACTGTTGATGATGTTTCCATCATTTAGCGATCTCCCAAACAGTGAACTCGACAACCAACATCATCATCATTGAATAGGCTG